TTCCCTTCTGTATTGTCCTGAAAGAGGGAACTGGTTGGGCCTCTAGGGAGATGCAGAATGACAGAACTTCCTTCCATACCAGGCTGCTTCAGAGCTTGTAGGCACCTTAGAGCCTTGTCCTGGGAAATGGAGGTCCCTATGTTGGGCAGAGTCCCAACATGCTGAGAAAAACTGCAGAGTGTGCTCAGAAAAGAATGCAGAGCAGTCCTTAGTGCCAGAGGGCCCTTGGGCTTCAGAGGCCTTCATAGTGTGGACCAAAGTCTCCAATCCAAAGCAACTCAGCTTTGATTCTCTATGCCCTTCTTTTGGTGTCTAAGCTTTGGTTCCTTACCTTCCCCTTGCTTAACTAGCTTCTCCCCATTAACTCCATCTTCCCTAGGACTCTCCGAAGGGTTTTAGCCACTTCTGTACCCCTCTTTGATCTGTACCCCTCTTTGATCTGTACTCCCCTTCTTCCCCTAACACAAAGCCCTGTCAATTTGGCCTTTGTAGCCTGTGGGGACCCCACTGCTTTCTCCAACTGTGACTGCTCCAACAGCTAGGAAGCCCTCCCTGACGCCATATAGCTCTGGGACTGGGCTATCTGACAGCGTGAGGTATTAAGGATCCTGAATCAAGTGCTATGGCACAGGTGCACTGATCCTAAGACACCTGTGAGGGAGAATGCAGAAGAGGCCGCAGGGAAGGCTCATGACTGAGGATAAGGGCATGAATCTGTAACAAATAAAACCACAAACTAGATTCCAACTCCAGAACTTTTATTCTCCTGGAAACAATCTCTGTGTTAGCAGTACTTGAAGGAAAAGTTGTATGCTTAGTTCTTTCGAAGCAGGCGTGAATGTCTATGCACAGCATCCACAAAGGCCCCTACATGTTCTGGGTCCATGTCAGGGTAAAGCCCATGGCCCAGGTTGGCAATGTAGCGTTGTGGCCCAAAGTCATCTAGCATCTGCTGCACCAGCCGACCGATCTCCTCCTGGGGAACAACAGATCACTGTCTATAGAGGAGGTCAGCAAGGCTCTGTCCTCCTCACACATACTAGTGACAGATACACATGCAGGCACGTTTCTGCTCCACGTTACTCAATCATTAACTCAACCAAATGTATCAGCTACCTCACATGGGCCAAGCACTAAGTAAACACAAATGAACAAGAAAAATTCCTTACTTCCTAGGGTTTAATGCTGTGTATATAGAGTAGAGGAGGGACAAATAGGCGTAATGAAGGGAGACAGTCATACAACCACAGTCACAGCCAAAGGAGTGCACAGAGACGACTTGTACACACATAGGGGCCCCAGTTGTTACCTCGGATGCATACAGGGCACAGGGGTCCAGGTTGCCCTGTAGAGTCACCGTCTTCCCCACAAGCTTCCTAGAAGCAAGAGCCAGTGCCACATTCTGGTGACTGCATATTAGGCAGCTCCACCCACCTCCAAACTTAAGGGCTGTCCCTCCAACACTCACCGGGCTTTCCTTGGGGCCACTGTCCAGTCAAGCCCAACCACCTCATACCCAGACTGAGCCAGCTCCTCCAGGGCAAAATGCCCATCCTTAGCAAAGATGATCTGGAGGACAGAGCAGATCTCTTAGGCGACATAGGGCCTAACTATGCCCTCTTTCTTGGCTGTGCTTCTGCTGCCCTCCAGTGGTCACTTCAGTCCATGCAGGACTCAACCCTTAAAGCTCTACAGACCCATCTTCACCCAGCCTATCCCAATCCTCACCATGGGCACTGGTGCCAGGCCTGCTTCCTGCAGCCCAGCTTTCACGCGCTTGGCCACATCACGAATATAGGGTAGTGCAAACATGTTGAAGAGCTGTGGGCCAAGATGTCCTGCATGGGACTCAAAGAGTTGCAATGCCTAGGTCAGAGATGGTGAAAAACAAAATACATTTAACACAAAGAAGAAATAGCTCAGCCCCCATGTACAGAAATGTCTCATTTCTCCAAGTAACTTTAAGCCCTATGACTGCAAGAGCCTTGTTAATATCAGTTCCAGTCAAAGAGTTTTGCCTTCTCCAGACCCCAGTGGTAGCTTTGGTCTTCAAACATTCAGAACATTCATTAAGTCCCTCTGGTGGGCTTGTCTACTCCAGTCAGATCTCTGAAGGTCAAGCTAAGTCCTCTGCCCCCTCTAGTTTAGGAGACCAATGCCCTTGGTCCTCATAGTCCAAACCCCACTATTTGCCTCTCCCACAGGACTTACCTGGGCACCAGCAACCACCTGTCCTATGAGATATGGGACCAGAGCATCAGTGAGGATGCGAAGCAGCTGGTGACTGGCCTGAGGTCTTTGGTAGAGCCACCGCTTGGCCTGAGCCATGGTGCTTGAGCTGCCACCCTCAATCATGTACGTCATCAGGGTCCACTACAGAAGTATACAAAGATGTCACAGTCCAGAAGGTAGACTGACACTTCCTTCCCTTGTCCATACCAGACCTGCCAGAATGATCTTGTGCCCCAGTCCCAGCCCTGTCCCACATTACCGGGGCACCAGCAAAGCCAATCAGTGGCACACGCCCAGCCAGCTTTTGCCGGGTGAGAGTGATGGCCTGGAACACATAGCCCAGCTCAGAGGCCACTGCTGCTGGATCCCGTAGACGCTCTAGATCCCGCTCTTCTCTTAGTGGCTCTGGGAAGCTGGGTCCTTTGCCAGGTACCATGGTCACCTCCATGCCCAGTGCCTGGAGAGGGATAAAACATTTGGGTTCCCAAACTGGAACGCCGGGAGGAAAGGTTCAGCCCATGCCAGGAGGAAAGGAATAGGAGAATAAAACTCCATCTCTTTCAGCCTTCACTTTCCCTTCTATCCAGTTAGAATAAGTGCTGATCTTGAACTTTAGCAAGACTGATAAGATTTCCACAGCGTCCTTTCCACTGTTCCCATTCCGGGATCAGGTTTAAACGGGTACCTGGGGTACAACAAGGATGTCGGAGAATATGATGGCAGCATCCAGAGGGAAGCGACGAAGTGGCTGTAGAGAACAGGAAATAAGTTGCTGGGTGGCAAGCTGAGGGAGTAAACCTGATCCGTCTTTTGTGGACCCCTCACCTGCAGAGTCAGTTCACAGCAGGCCTCTGGAGAGCGACAGGTGCTGAAAAAGTCCTGGGCAGCCCTGGTTTCCCTAAACTCTGCAGGCAGAGAGGGAAGGCAAGGGTCAGTCCTGAGGCCTGTGAGAGCCCTGGCCTTACCCTATAGAACTTTTCATCCTCCAGAGTTTTAAATTCCATCTAGGCTTCCAAGACTTGCCCCTAACCTGGTAAGTAGCGACCAGCCTGCCGCATACACCAAACAGGAGTGTAGTCTGTTTCCTCTCCCCAGGCTGCTCGAAGGAACGTGTCATTCTTCAGCTCCGGAAAACTCTGAGGTCTGGCGAACAGATCAGGGTGAAAATAGGTGTCAATATGCTAGGCTGGATGTTGGGGAAGGTGCGGGTTCTAGGTGGATTCAGTCGTGCCCCGTTATCTACCCGCTCCAGACCTGCTCGAAAGTCGTGGCTCCCCGCCCACCCGTTTCACCTCGTCTCTGCCTATCAGGTGGTGCACACGACTGTAAAAGGGCCGCGCTGGGGCCTCTTCCCTATGCATACTCCCAACTCTTCCAAACTCAAAAGAATTGGAGAAGCGGGAGTGAGAGGATAAAAGCCCAGTAGGAAAGTTTGCGGGAGAAGAGTCACGGGACTAACGAATCTCAGGAACGGGGCGTCAAAGAGCT